GTGCGTGTGGGTGTGCGCCCAAGATCCCGAGAGGAGAATGGAGGAGAAGGGATTGCGGCGTGACCATCCCCCCGGGAGGGGGGGGGTGATTTCTCGCTTTCTATCTCTATGACTCTCTCTGTCTGTCTGGCGAGTGCACGTGCCCTATAGCGAAAACCTCTCAAAAAAAAAAATTGGCATTATTTCAGGTAAGCTATATTATTTTAGGATTTTTCTTTTTTAAGATGTCGTTCTGTCTTAGGGTGTATGCACTCAACAGAGAGAGAAAGAGACAAAGAGAGATAGAGACAAGGAAATCAAGAAACCACTCCCCAAGGGGGATGACCACACTGCAATCCCTTCATTCTCTTCCCAGGATCTTGGGGACACATGCACATGTACCTGGCGTGAATTTCAAGCCACTGAATCTGGTACTCAAACAGCAGTTGGCCACGTGGGGATGTAACTACTATGTCATCTGCTATCCCCCGTTTTAGTATATTTTTATTAAAAGATTTCTACTTTCGAGGCTGGCAGGTGGCATGGTGGTTAAAGGCGCTGGGCTCCCACATGTCCAACCACCATTTGAGTCCTGGACCTGGTGGCTTGCTTTCTCACTTTCTCTGTCTGTCTATCTCGCGTGCTATGTCCTCTAGGCAAATAAAATTAAATTAAAGAAAGAAAGGAAAAGCTAAATAAAATAATTCTTTAAAAAGATTTCTACTTTAGTATTGTTTTAAATCCATATGACTTCATCCTACCAAAATTTAAAGGAATCAGTCACCTTTAAAATAGTTGCTTTTATTCATCCCTAGGAGCTGCTGTTTTAAGGATTCCTGTTTTATATGGGGAAGTTGAAAAGCTTGAAGAAAGTGCTGTGACGGTCATGTTTGACAAAGTGCAGTTCAGCAACAAGTCGGCGAACATGGACCACTGGCAGCAGAGGTTCCCCACACATGTCAAAGACGTGGCCACTGTGTGTCGGCAGCTAGCTGAGAAGAGAATGCTGGTGAGAGTTTGTGGAAGGGAGAGTCCCTAACTTCCATCTTTGTGAAGATCCACTTTCTTTCTATGCATCAACCTTCATGGCTGTTGTTAGAGTGTTAATAGGTTAAAAGTGCTTTTCTTTCTTTTTTTTAAGAATTATTTTTATATGATTTTACTTACTTATTTATTTTTACTTCTTTATTTTGAGGTTGACCAGAGTGAGACAGAGAGAAGGATAGTGAGAAAGCAAGCTGCCAGGTCTAGGACTCAAACTATAGTCAGCCATGTGGGAGTCCAAACGCCTTAACCACCATGCCACCTGCTGGCCCCAAGAGTGCTTTTCTAAAACTAGGGAAGACCAAACAAAAGTATTTTACAGAGAGTAGACTATATTAATGAATAGTAAAAAAATATACTCCTGTGTTTGAATTTATTTCTCACATACTGTAAATCCCGTTATTTCTTAAATAGCAAGCTGATGGAAAACTTGAAGTTTTTTCCATTGGGTAACAACAAAATTTTTCACGTAATGTCTTTTAAGAAGAGCTAAGATACCTGTAATGACAAAGAAGAATCTAAGAATTTATCATATTAGCCACTTTAAGAATTATTTGTACTTTAAAAAAATATTTTGGGGGGACCAGCAGTGTCGCTGGACACCCATGTAGTCAACCGCGGTTCGCGTCCTGGACCCAGTGGCTTAAAACTCATGCCGGGCACGTGTGTGTGTGTGCCCAAGATCCTGAGAGGAGAATGGAGGAGAAGGGCTTGTGGCATGGCCATTCCCCTTAGGGATGATTTCTCGCTTTCTATCTCTCTGTTTCTCTGTTTGGCGAGCACACGCACCCTATAGCAAAAACCTCTCTTAAAAAAAAAAGTAAATAAATATTTTGGGGCTGTCAGGTGGTGGTATTAAAGTGCTAGACTCCCCCACGGTTAACTGTAGTTTGAGTACTGAACCTGGTGACCTGCTTTCTTACTCTCTCTCTGGTCAAATTAAAAAATAATAATAATAAATAAAATTAAAACATAATTCTAAAAAAAAATATTTCAGCAGAAGTTCATTTTAATCATTTAAAAGGTTAGCATTAAGAATATCCATAGAAAGAAAGATTAAAGACTGGTTTCCTAGACTGTAGCATGGTGAGAGTTTTTAATATGTAAAAATTTATATTTAAGTTTATACTGTAACAGTTAACTGATTTGCTTATTTTTATTTTATTTTGTTCATTTATACTTGCTATAGGGCATTAGCATTCATGCACGCACACACACACACATACACACACACACACACACATACACACACACACACACACACACACATACACACACACACACACACACACACACACACACGAGTTTTGCAAACCACCAAGTCTAGAACTCGAACTGCTCAGTTGACCATGTGGAATCTAGTCACCTGACCAACTGTGCAACTGGCTAGCCTTGTTAATCCTGATATGGGTTTCTATTCTGTTTTGGTTTTACTCTCTTAGGATGTAAATAAAATTGAAGTCATTTATATATATATGTATATATTTTTTATTTTAATGTTAAATTTTAGAAATTCATTTTTATGTTTTAGCTGTAAATATTTACAGGACCTTGATTTTAGATATCTTATAGGAAACATTACAAAAAAGGAAGATCACATTTTAGTTCCTGGACCTTTTAAAAGCTTCTTGTCAATCCCATCATTCCACTCAACTAAAAAAAGTTGAAACTTTTTAAAATTTTTTGTGTCCTTGTTCTTAGGACCCATCGATTAAAGGAACCTTTCACTGGTCTGGCAATGAACAAATGACTAAGTACGAAATGGCGTGTGCAATTGCCGATGCCTTTAACCTCCCCAGCAGTCACTTAAGACCTGTAAGTACATGGCATTTAAAACCTTCTCACTTCTTCCATCACCATAGTGTATGTTATTGATGACATTTGTCTTATTTTTTTGTTTGTTTTTTGTTTTTTTATTTTGCTATAGGGAGCACATGCGCTTACTAGAGAGAGAGAGAGAGAGAGAGAGAGAGAGACAGGAAGACACAGATTGTGGCCACACCACAATCCCTTATTCTCCATTCTCCTCTCGGGATCTTGGGGCACGCACGCACATGCGCCCGGCGTGAGTTTAAGCCACCGAGTCTGGGACTTGAACCACGGTTGACTACGTGGGAGTCCAGTGACATAGCCATTAGGCCAACTGCTGATGCCCATTTGTCTTGTTTTAAATGTGTTAGAAACTTCATTTTTCAGTACTAATCAATGTGAACTTTGCTTGTATATTGGCAGTGTATAGTGCTCCTTCTCTCTAAATTATCATCTGTAAAGAAACACATACATATTGATTGAGTTTATAGAAAAAATACTAGTTTGATTATGGCATACATTTTGGTTCTTTCAGTGATGTTTAAATCTTATTTCTTGCCTTGAAGGTGACATGAAATAGAGAAATACACAGGGGCAGATCGTGATGCAGTTGTTGAATGTGATGCTCCGCAAAGCTGACCCACATAGTTTCTAGGCTTGCATCTAGAGACCTTCCTAAATACCCTAAATGGGCGCATGCCTGTGAACCAAAGCTGGCTGAGGCTGAGGGTGGACCATGGCATGAAGACCCTGTTGGGAGTGCTGTTTCTCTCTTTCTTACTCATGGAAGAATTAAATAAGCTTATTTATTTATTTAAAAAGAACCAAGGTACCAGAGAAACACAACAACTTAAGATGTGTCCCCTTTTATTGATTTTTATTTTTGTTTTCTCTTTAAAGATTACTGACAGCCCTGTCTTAGGAGCACAGCGTCCAAGAAATGCTCAGCTTGACTGCTCCAAATTAGAGACCTTGGGCATTGGCCAGCGAACACCATTTCGAATTGGAATCAAAGAATCACTCTGGCCTTTCCTCATTGATAAGAGATGGAGACAAACGGTCTTTCATTAATTTCTATGTTTGTTTTTTTTTTTTAAATGAAAAGTATAGTATGTGGCACTTTTTAAAGAAAAAAAGGAAATAGTTTTGTATGAGTACTCTTTAATTGTGACTCTTATGATCTTTCAGGTAAATAATGCTCTTGCACTAGTAAAATTGTCTATAGAAAACTAAAGGGCAATGATGCTTTGTTCACAGTAATGATTTTTCTGTTTATCACTTTCTTTGTTCTGGCTTAACTTGCTGTTTGAGTTTAGTAAATTATGACTCTTAAATATTTCAGAGCCAGGATGAAAAACTGATCTGCTGTAAACCTTTTTATGGATGAAATGCTTTGTTCATTCCTGTGACCTTCATATTTTCAGGGTTTATTTTTTGCAACTGTTGACCCTTTTATGTTGATTGTTTTAAAGTGTGTGAAATAGTATGAAAATCATTGGTGTTCATTATTTGCTTTGCTTGAGCTCAGATCAAAATGTTTGAAGAAAGAAACTTTATTTTTGCAACTTAAGTACAATTTTTATGCTTGAGATATTTCAACCTGTTATGTATATTGGAACTTCTATAGCCTGATACCACCTGCTTTGTAGCAGTGTATGGTGAGCACTTGAGAGAGAGAATGTGTGTGTGTATGTGGATTTTTTTTTTAAACATGAATATATATCTGTCCTTTACACTCCATGTTGCTAAATGATATTTCATATGCTTGGTTGTACTAATAATGGACCTTGTAAGTCTTTTGACCATTCATGACTAATAATAAATATGTACTGCTGGCATGTATTGCTTTGTTTTCTTATATTTACTTCTCTTTTTAAATATGAGGAAACAGTCTAACCTAATTTTTTGTTTGTTTTGTTTTTTTTTTTTTTTTTTTTTTTTTTTTAAAGAGATGGTTTTGCTATAGGGTATATGCACTTGCCAGAGAGAAAGAGAAAGACAGACAGAAAGCAAGAACTCACTCACCTGGCGGGTGTGTGTGGGAGGGATGGCCATGCCACAATCCCTTCTCCATTCTCCTCAAGGGATTTTGGGCATGCCTGCACACACTCCCAGTGTTAGTTTAAGCCACTGGGTCTGGGATTCAAACTGTGGTCAACTATTTTGGAGTCCAGTGAAGTAACTGTTACTCCATCTACTGATCCTTGTTGCTTTAATTTTTTTAAAATTACATTCTCATCATGTAACATCTAAAGTATAGAGAAGGATGTAGTTAATATATATTGAGATATAAGATAACAGTAAACACTGGTGAACCTTCCACTTGAAATCTAGAATGTTACATATTGAATCTACTTGTTCCTACTGAGTTGTTTACCTGAAAGTAAACAGCTATAAAATTTTGTTACATTATACATTGACACAGAGTCTTCTGAAGATGCAGAGCATTTGAACTTTTCTGTAACTTTGAGGTAACCCTTGCTTCAACAGTATTTTAGGTCCTTAATAAGGAAGCGAGGAGGGTAGTACTTATATGATTTGGCTTCTATTCAGGGGTTGGTGCAAAGCCTAATTCACGTTTTCTCATTTCACATTTTGGGATATTTTCTCCTCCAGCTTATTATCTTATTTCTTTATCAGATACAAGGTAGTTTTTTTGTTTTTTAATTTGCCCTTGAACTTGCCAGAGAGAAAAGGAGAAGCGGGAAGAACTCCCAGTGGGGCATGGTCATATCACAATTCTTTTTCTGTTTCTCCATCTTTTTGGGATTTTGAGTATGCACACACATGTGCCTAGAGTGTTTCTCAAGCCTCTGGGTCTGAGACTCAAACCACAGTCATCCCCGTGGGATCCAGCTCCTTAACCCTAGGTTATGGTCTGGCCCAACGTGACAAAGTCCCCCCGCCCCCAAGTTTTTGCTTTAGGGAATGTGTGCTCACCAGAGAGAGAGACAGAGGGAAAGTGAGAAATGACCCCCACCAGGGGAGATGGCCATGCTGCAACCCATTTTCCTCCAGTTTCCTCTTGGGATTGTGAGCACACACATACACACGCCCAGCATGATTTTCAAGTCACCAGGTCCAGGACTCAAATCTTGTCATGTGGGATTCCACCATATAAATTACTGCAGCACCTCCTGGACCCCATATATGAAGTATTTCAAACTTCATTATTTGTTTAGAATTTTGAAGTCTTTTTTTTTTTTTTTAGGTGTTTGCCATAGGGCATGTGTGCTCACTGGGGAGAGAGAGAGACAGTGAGAGGTAAAGTGAGAAAGCACCACCTGGGGTTGTGACCAAACTGCAATTCCTTCTTTCTCCTCCTGGGATTTTGGGCAAGCATGCACACATGCCAGGCATTATGAAACCTCCAGGTCCAGGACTCAAACCATAGTCAGCTGTATAGGAGTCTAGTAACTTAACCATCCTACCTCCTGTTAGCCCCTAGAATTGTGAGTTTTAAGAGGAACAGATTTGGGTGATTTGGTTAAAGCAACAGTTCCCAAACTATATTACTTTTTAAAATGAACTGGGGACTTTTTAAAAATAATTTTTTTTAAGGTTTTTGCCATAAGACCTGTGTACTCACCAGAGAGAGGATGAGAGAGATGGTGAGAGGGAAAGTGAGAAATCACTCCCCAAGGGGATGCCACACTATCTGTTCTCCATTTTCCTGGAATTTTGGGCACACACACACCTAATGTGCTTCTCGAGTCACTGGGTCCAGGACTCGAACTGTGGTCGGCCAGGTGGGAATCTAGTGCCTTAACCATTATGCCACCTGCTGGCCCCAATTATTTTGAATTTTTGCCAGAGGGCATATATATACTTGTCAAAGCAAGACAGGGAAACAAAAAACGCCATCCTGGGTGATGGTCATACTGCAATCCTTTCTTCATTTCTCCCTCCTTTTGGGATTTTGGCTACACATACTGAACCCAGTGTTTTTTTAGGCTGCTGGATCTGGGACTCAAACCATACAGCCAGCCATATGGGATCCAACCACATCCCAAACTGGCCTTAACTGGGGACACTGTATTGATAACCTGAGTCCTACCCTGGACCTGCTTGATAGGATTTTGAAAACTGAAGCCTGCTAACTTATTGGGTTGTTGGAAAAGTCATATATTTTTCTGTTTCTATGCAAAAACATGTCATGATTTCCCAACAACTCAATATTTTTAAATACTTTGCACTCGGGTTTTAAGGTAATGAGCCTTGGACTTGATTTGGGCAACCACTAAAGTAATAAACTCTGTTTTGTTTTTTCCTTCTTAAGTTAGTTACTACATTTCCTATAGAGCAGGGGTCCCTAACCCCAGGACTATGAATTGGTACTGCACAGAAACTGGGGTGCACAGCAAGAAGTGAGCAACTGGTGAGTGAGGTTTAAGTCATTCAGAAACCATCTCCCCTGTCCATGGAAAATGTGTCTTCCATGAACTCAGTCCCTGGTACTAAAAAGGTCGGGACCGCTGTTGAATAGGCTCTCACAGCATGGGAACATGCTCACATTCTCACCATTTCCCCTTTATTTCCAGAGTAGCACAATACGCTTAGCTGCATTTCTTTTTTTTTTTTCACTTGGAATTGTTACATATTAGTCCATGAGTATATCCACATATCCTTTTTACAGAAAGTTGCCATGATAATATAAACAATGCTCTTTCTCAATTCTCCGATTGGCTATAGCCACATTTATCTTGTTTTTTTTTTTTTTTCTTAATACAATGTGTATCTGGATTTATTGATACATATAGTCTCTTCTGAACCACTTAAGAGTAAATTGCAGGAGCCAGCAGGTGGTATGGTGATTGAGGCACTGAACTCTCACGTGGCTGAACATGGTTCGAGTCCCAGACCTAGCAGTTTACTTTCCCACTTTCCCTTTCTTCTGTCTGTCTGGTCAAATTTAAAATATAAATAATGATAAATAAAATAAAAATAAATATATTAAAGAGTAAATTGCAGATATGCTTCATTACCCACTTAGTGTAATATATATACTTCACTGTATGTTTTGTAAACATAAGCATATACTTCCATATACCTCATATGTCAAAACTGAGAAATTAACACTGATTCAGAACTATTACCCAATTTACACAGCCCATTCAAATGTCATCAGTTGTTCAGTAACATCCTTTTTTCTTTCCTTTTTTTTTGGAAAGTTTTTTGCTATAGGGCACACGTGCTTGCCAGAAAGACAGACAGAGACAGACAGAAAACGAGAAATCAGCTCCCAGTGGGCGATGGCCATGCTGCAATGCCTTTTCCATTCTCTTCTCGGGATCTTGGGCACGCACGCACATGTGCCTGACTTGAGTTTAAGCCACGAGTCCAGGACTCGAACCGCAGTCGACTACATGGGAGTCCAGTGACATAGCCATTACACCAACTGCTGGACCTCAATAACATCCTTTTTAGGTTTCTCTGGCCTAGGATTTCTCAGGGAGTTCCTGTGTTGTTTTAGCTTCCATCAGGAACAGTCCCTTGGTCTTTTGTTTCATGATCTGGACAACTTTGATATTTCTGAGTATGTAAGACACCATAAGTTCACACTGATGCCTCCCATTCCAGTCTTGCTCCAAAGGGCTTATTTTAACCTCCTGTTTTCCATTGTATAGCTCCTTTCTCTGGCAGAAATCTATTTCCCATTATTTAATATACTTATTTATTTGCTCCATCCATCTGTAAGAGCCATTCTAAACTCACCGACTAGATCCTTCCCTATTCTCATCACATAGGTCTTCATCAACTAGCTGAGTGTCCCTGGACCCTGTTCTCATGCCAAGACATGTGGACCACACCTGGCCCATGGCACACCAGGTGCCAGCAGAGCAACAAAGACAACCATTTATTTGGCTGCATTTATTCCATTGTATCAGTGAGGGATACATTCACAATTTATCTGATCGGCCTACTGTTGATGACTTTAGGTTGTAAAGCTAGACCTTCATTTTAATTGTTGCTAGAGGGTGTGTGTACTTATGGGGGTTGGTGGGCAGTGAGAGGGTGGACACACGGCATTTCTCTTTTCACACATGTTTGGCATGTTTTTCACGCCACTGGTCCAGGAGTCAAGCTGTACTATTGGCTGTATGGGATCCAGCTGCCATAACTACCACACTACCAGCTAAACCTAGGGCATGCTATTAATAAGCTTGTTTTATAAAAGTTTGTGAGACTCTATTTTGTACATCCAAGGATTATACCACAAGCTCTTAAAGTGTATGCTATAGGCCTCAAATGTGTATTATTTGCAGAACAAGAATTCAGAAAAAGGGCTAGCAGGTGACAAAGTGGTTAAAGGGCTGGTTCCCTCATGCCTGACTCTGTGGTTCAAGTCCCAGACCTTGTGGCAAGAAATACATGCTGGGCACGTGTGTGTGCATGCCCAAAGTTCTGAGAGGAGAATGGAGAAGGGATTGTGTTCGTGTCTGCCATCAAGCTTAAGAGTAACATCTCTCTGGATGGTAATATTGTTAGTGTCTGTCCTTGGGACTTGGTCCTGTGAAAGAAGCAAGTTAGAGAAAGGAAGGAAAGAAAGATGGCAGAAGCAGAGATGCAGGTGAACACGGACGAGCTGTGCTGCTCAGTCATGCTGAGCTTCTTTATGCATTTTTGCAGGCACAGTGAACTGTTTGCAGGCTTTCAAGAATGCAGTTGAAGTTCTACCGTTAGAGATAAGGACTTTAGTGTAAACGTTTTTTGACCTTGTTACAATCATGCGTGATCTTGTTATGCGTCATAGGTCAAGCCAGTTTACTTATGCTGTTCTTCTGTAACTCCAAGGAAGGCTGTCTGCGTATGCATCAAAGTGGATGGTGTGTAAGCCATAA